AACTTTTGCATAGCACTCCAAGGTAGGCATCTAATACATTTTAGGTACCCACTAACAAATACTCAGGCTCCCTTCCTATTCCCGTGATAACACTTCTATGAATATCCTCACTCATACTTCTTTGTGGACATTTATGCGAGCATTTCTTTGGGATGTACACCCAGAGGTTGGTTCATAGGGCACACACATGTCACTTAGTGGAGCATTTCCCTCTAGCAAGGCTGCACACCTCTACAATCCCCCGGTGATACACAACGGTTCTTGTATCTACACATGTACTGAGCACATGGCATCATTCAACTTTCTAACTTGTGTTTAATAGACATAATGTGATATCTTACTGACTTAATTTGCTTTTCTTCAGTTACTAGTGCATTTGAGCGACTCCCAATATGTTTTTTACACTTTGGGTTTCTTCTTCTGTATTGTCCCTTCATATCCTTGACGCATATATAATATGTTTATCTGTTTGCTTCTCTTTCTGTCCAGCTTGTAGGAGTTCCTTATAAATGCAAATATGAATTATTTGTTTCCTATGAATCTGATGGTGGCAGGGATGTAACAGGGACAGGGAGAGGTAGGGTGAATTATGCTGGCACATCCACCCAGGAAGAAGACCTTTTGGAATGTTTGTATTTCACCAGATTGTGGGTGGGAGAGTTGGGAATGGTTTGGGGAGACTGGGAATTGGGTGGAATCACCCACGGGAGGGGCATTGCTCTGCAAGCTATGCTGAGATTCTTAATAAGCTGGGCTTCTGGACACCAAGATCCCTTGGGCGTTGGGGAATTCCTAAGCAACATGTGGTTGGACTATCCTAGCAGCTGGCCCTTCTAGGAATCCGAGCGGTGATGCCGCTGTGGGCTGCCATTCTAAGCAGGGAGCACATCCCACCATCAGAGGAGGAAGAAGTCCAGTCAGGGGTGGCGGTTGGGGCTACCTCTTGTCTTCTCCTGTATTTTCAGGGCATAGCACAGTGGCAGTTGATAAGAATCCCTCATGTTTTTGAAACAGAAATTTAGCTATTAGTATTTATTACTTTTTATATTACTATTTCTAGCATTATGTATTAAGTTAAAGGATTTTTCAAAATATACAAGTAGTGCTTTTTTAGATAATGGTTATACCAACGTGATGACATAACTAGTTGCTTGGGGAATGTCACAATATCCTGTGTGACAATTACAACATTGAGACAATCTTAAAAATTTGATGAATAAATCCTATATATGTGTTCCTGTTTTTAAAAGAAATATAGAAATGTTCACTTCCTTAATTTTTAGAAAATTACATCGTAGTAACAGTTGCTAATGCAAGTATTTAAACAAAAGTTTGTAGTAGTTTTACAGAAAAAATGTGGTCAGATAAATTTTGAGAATTTATTTTTATTTGTGATTATCTAAATGGTGTGGTAAAATCTGTTCTTCATCTTTGGTACCCTCTTGTGTTTAGTGAAAGGCATTGAGTTGGCCTTGTTTTTAACAGTAGCATGTATTTTAATATATTTTTATCTGTGTGACCTGCCTAAAGTCTTATAAATATTTGACAAAATTTTTTGGTTATAAACAACAATTCGAAGAGTAAAGTTGGCACTTGGAGTTTGTGCTGTGATGGTTTCCTCCTATTCCTCACTCCAGTGTGTAAAACGAAGGCATGGCGTGACCACAGTTACTGAGTGATAATATGACACTGTGCTCACAGTAAATGCAGTGTAGTTTGCAGAGCCATCAGTTGCAGACCCAGATATAGCTTACTTTCACTAGCTATCTTTGGGTTTGAGGAATAACTTGCCATTTTTGATGATCTATTTTGTTCAGTAATTTTCTATCTCTCTCTTTCACTGTCTTTATCTGCATGACATATAGCAAGTAAAGGCAGACATCCCCTTCTACTTCACTCCTCTTCTTTTTTCCCTCAAGATTATTATTTTACTATGACTTTGTTTTAAATGATTACCTAATTCAAATGTACTTACTATGGATTGACAGAAAACATACCTTTATAATATGTAGTCTCCTTTTTTTTTTTCTTTGAATCATGCCATGGCAATAAGGAGCCAGTGATATTGCACAACATTTAATAACAATTCATGGTTATTTTCTCCTTCCTTTAGCGGTACTGATTTCAGAGAAAATTCTTAGTTTGATGTCCACAACAGGTAATATAAGAGACAAGAGGTAGCTATATGAGGTTACATTAGTAATTCCAAATAAGTCTTAGCTTATATGAGCAGTAAATTATGACTTTTGAGGGAGATATGAGTTGCAAGGAAAAGTGCTCTTTGTTTTCTAGAATATACTTCCCTAGATTATAGTTGTTGTATACATGTGGCCTAGTCTTTTCTCTTAGCTCTTTAATTTTGTGCTCAAACTGAGGGTGCTTTTGTTGTCTACGTCACTGGAACCTTTGAGAAGATCTCTTTTTGCTTGCCTGGTGGCGTGAAGGGCCAGGGTTTGAAGGGAGAGTCCAGGAAGTGGTTCTGGGAATGATTTTTGTATTGCCAGGAATGCTGATGTATTGGCACTGAATTAACATTTTGAAAAATGTCACTGAACACTAACTGAAAACAAAGATGCAAGTGTCATCACCACAGCTGTACTCCCTTCTCCTGAAGCCAGTTTCTTCCTCTTTTATGCACAGTGAGAAATTTTAAGCCCCTATTGTAAGATGAAAGGGAGTCAGCTTTGTGTAATATACTGTAACGCAGCTGGTTGCCCACATGTATTCATGTACCACTGAGTTTGACTTAGGGCCATTTGTGCAGAGTTGTTCCTTGTATGAAGGATAATAGTTTGTTGAACAAATAGAATGTCAGTGAGGGACTGTGGTGGCCACTGTTATAAGAAGAAGAATTGTACTTGCTCATTAAATATTTATTGAGCATTCACTAGCTATTCAATTTTAAGATGGATGGGGTATATACATAAAATCTCTGCTACAATGTAGAACATGAACACTGTAAGAGACCCATATATGAAGCTATTTAAGCATTCAAAAGGGAGAGAGAATTGATAAAAGGGAATTGTGAATGAGGTTTCTTTGAGCTCGGTGCTAAAAATACATATAATTTGAATGTATGGAAATTGGAAGAAATGTGCATTTTTGTCAGAGGGAATGGTCCAGAGAGGAAAAAAAAGAACCGAAAGGAGCAAGAATAGGGAGCTCAAAAAGAGCTAGTGAAAGAGACTTTTGGAAAGATAGGTGGCAGGTTAGTTGTGGGCACGAAATGCCAGATTAAAGAGTAAAATCCACTGATGAAAAGATGAAATATTCACCCAGGTATCTATTCCAGCAGTGGAGAGGACAGACTCCTCCTATCCTGAGCTTGGGCTTCTCGGCTTCCCTTTGGGTCGGCTACTCCAGAGTTTGTTATGTGAGGAGCTCCTCAACACACCGTTTTTGGGTGGGAATGCTACTCTTATTTTCCAGTTGTGTTTCTCCTAGCAGGGCCACATTTTATCCTTACGTAATAAAAATTCTTCGAGGATTTTGACTTTTCTCCCCATCATTTACAGGTGTCATACTTTAATGTACAAACATCTCAGTATTTCTTACATGGTCTAAAAGTGACTTGAACTTTTAAAGCAGAACTCTGCTTATTCTCTTTTGGACTCAATTTTCCCAACTCACATCCTAAAATTCCATATATGGAAAAATATGATGGGTTCCTGGAAATATGATCGAGAAAAAAGTTCAGAATGCCAAGGGATTAAAATGGCATCACCAGAATAGATAAACCTGGGGAAGACCCCTAAGCTAGAGGCCTTCTCTTCTTTTCTTCTACTTCCCTTCCTCTCCTCTTTCCTTTCCTCCTTTCTTCCATCCATCCATCCATTATTTTTAAATAACCCTTGCCAGGTTCTTATGCAAATAATGAAGCAAAGACTTATGCATAATAATCATAGAGCTTGCTAAGAATGACAGTTCCAGAGTCTCTGGGTGAAGGAAAACAGGAATGTGCGTTTTGAACAAACTCGTAAACACTTGACTCTCAATCAGGTGATCCAGAGGTTGCAGTTTCGGAGACACTGAAAGGAAAGAAAGGAATAGTAGTACTTCCTTGGCCAGTGAAATTTATGAGTGTAGTTACTTAGTATTTGTTTCATGCAGACTCAACTAGAAAAGGCATACCTGGTGGATACAGTATTTATAGTTGGAGAAGATTATATGTCCAGGTATGCTCTGTTCTCTTCAGTATTGCATTCCATTTGCATTTCTGTGGAAGGAAGCCGTAGGATGAAAGATAAATTTATTCCCTTCCTCCATAAAAGGTCAGCTTGTTTACAGCTATTCTCCCTCTTCTCCCCCACAGACTCCAACATTTCAGAAATAAGTATAGGTAAACTATTATAATAATAGTTACAGTCAGAATACGTGGTGTGGATGTTGTCAATCCTTTTGATTTGACTTTGAATTTTCTTATTTATTTGAAGCCACCAGCATTGAAAAATCTGTTTACCTCCCTGTCAAGAATGAGTTGTTTGAAATATCAGGTGTCTTTTGTGGCTGAGAGTGATTCTGTGAAAAAGAGTTTACGGGAGCGGTTCTCCTCTAGACTGGTTATATGTTAACTCATTCGAATCACCAAAAAGCCTAAAAAAGACATTTTTCTCTTAGTCACATCCTAGATCTACTGGATCAGAATCTTTTGTTGGAAGTCAATTCTAAGCTCTCAAAGGGACTTCACTGTAGCCAGCCGGTCCCCCCACCCATACTACAGTTCCGTGTGCTTCACGGGAGATGGGACTTGCCATGTCTGTGTACATGGGTGTCTCTCCCCACAAGATGGGGAAGCTGCTTTGAGAGCAGAATACATGCTCAAATAACTTGTTTCACATCCTTCTTTCTACTCTACTAAATTAAGGTTTTGCAGGTTTTTGGAATTGACTAAATCATTATTAAGTAATTATATTGGACTTTTGAGGGGATGGTGAAAATCAAGGTTTTCTGGATGCTCTGATTTGAATTTTGAACTTTTTTTTGTTATTACTATCCCCTAGGATGGAAAGAAGAAGTTTGACAAGGAGAGTGAAAAATACTACTCAATTCTTGAAAAGCATTTGAATTTGTCTGCAAAGAAAAAGGAGTCTCATTTGCAAGAGGTAAGCTTTTCCAATTGAAATGTGGAAAAAGCATTAACATCAAGTTATGTAAAGTAAAAACTTTCCGGAGATTGAAGTATCTCAAAGTCTGCTACTGTTTAATAAAATAATTACAGTAACAATAGCTAACTTCACTGAGCACTTAGTATGAACAGGTACTTTAAATACAGGATGGCATTTAATAGTAACAGTTCCAAGTGAAAGATTAATATTTCCTTCAACAACAAGAAAGGTTGAAATAAAACCTTTTCCTTTTCTTCTTTTTTGGGCATATTTCAAGAGACAGGACCTATCAAATTCATGTTATGGCCTTTATATTAAATTTAAAATACCTGTGACATTGATTTCAAAGCCTCCCTTCTATATTGGGGGTAAAAAGAAATACAACTACACATTTCCAAATCTAAATTATTTTACATCCATTTTCTTTAAGAACAAATGAACAGAAATATTTTACACACATCTACACATGTAAGTAGTCTATTTCTTCTTCTTGTCTGAAATATCTTTTATTCTTCTTATTGGTTTTTAACTGTTATTAGTAAAATCCAGAGTAGTCCTTTTACTGAGGAATAATGTAGTTCTAATTTCAGTGATGGCATATGTCAAAAAATGGTCCTCAGCCTTCCATATTCCTTTTCTGATTTCTCCTACCTCCAAGTTCATCCGCAAGGCGTGCTTGACAAGTTAGAGTATCACAAAGTTTCCACGGCGTCAAAATGGAATGGGAATGTTATTTTAGCATCTGATTCCTTTTTTCCCCAACATGCTCACGTTTTCATTTAGAGCATCAGATTTCTTTAACCATGTTTAATATTGGGAAGTTTTGTTTCCCTTGATATTAAACATGAAATTATTAGTATGCTTTCTGTTATTAACACATGCTATTTAAATAGTATAATTTAACATACAATTGTGTGCTTACAGAAAGATTTTGTGGCAAAAGTGAAATGGAAGACAATCTGCCATTAAGAAAAACTAGATTGTATTTTAAATTTCTTGGGCACGTTTAATCTTAGAGTATTTGGTACTGCTTGTTGTAATTTAATATTATGTTCACATGTTCCCGATGTCTTAAATGCTTATATTTCTCTTAATACATTGCCCTAGAATAAACCCAAGAGAGAATGGGGTTGTGGCGTGATGTGGATGCAGCCATGTGGAGAGAGGCTCCTCTAACTGCTGCCGGCACACTGTCATCTGCCGTGGCCAGGGCTACAGCCAGGTGCCTTTTACAAATTGACTGCTGCAAAATCAAGGGCGGTTTTTAGAGTCCCTAAAGAACTTTAGGTTCTTGATGAACATGAGAGGCCACCCTTAGACAAGGCACTGCTTAAGCCATTTTAAGGAAATGATAACTTTATCCTAATTTTAAAGTCCTCTAGAGAATATGTCTCAATTTTTCCTGACAACTTAGTCCAATGTTAAATACTTTTCCTTGCTAGTGGCCCTAAATCCCTTAGACTATGGCATAATAGAATATTTGTTCTGGCTCTACACTTAGTTGGAGGCTGGAAAAGATCATAACATAGTAATATGCCCCTCTCCACCTCACTCCACAAACACGCACACTTCTTTTCCAAGAGGTACAGCTGCTGACACAACACAACAAACAGATTGTGTTAAAGCAGCTTCTCAGGGGTACATAATGTAGACAAATATGGCTTGGGTTTTTCTTTCCCGGCCCATCCAAGAATCAAACCTGTTTGTTGTAGGCAGATGCTGCCACAAATGTATTTAATTCTGTGACATGGCATTAAAAGTCATCTGCCTCTTTCCAGAGCAGCTCTGGTCCTTCTGTCAGCACCAAGCTTATTAACGTGTTCTCCAAAAGACCCCTCTGTGCCTTCCCACCTGCACAGCTGACTACTTATTCATTTCGTTCATGGAAGATAAGTGGTTGCCCATTTCCAGGACTGAATTGAAGGGTCAGCTTAAGTTGACAAAGTTCCAAGGCCGTCAATTAGATGAGTCATTGGAGTAAACAATTGGAGAGTTGGAAACAAACTTGTCAAGATTATAGGCTTTATAGTAGATGGAAAGGAGTAATATTTGCTATGTGGATGAGTAATTCTTTACTAAGCATACAATGAAAGGAAGAGATTGTAAAGGAAATACAGAAAGATCTGAGCCCATAAGAATATCTGTTTTAAAAGACATTAAACCAAATTAAATGGCAAAGTATTAGGGAATTTCAACAACATAGGACAAAGGGTTATCATCTCATATAAAGAAGCATTTGCAAATCAGTGTGAAAAAGATAAACACTTCAGTGGGAAAAAATGGGCTAAGGACACGAGCGGCATTGATCAAAGAGGAAATATAAACTATATAAATATTGTTCAATGCAGACTGACAAGGTGTCATTTTCAATTTATTAAAAGATAATATCCATTGTTTAGTGAAGGTATAGGAAATGGGGCATACCTTTGCTCTCCCAGTGGGAACATAAATTACCTTAAGAATGACTGAATCTTTTTGACATCATATTTCAACAAACAAATGTATAAGATAGTTGAGATGATTTCTTTTGGTTGGAATTTACCCCAAAGAAATTATTAGAGATGAACATAAAAATTATAGAAATATTGTTTAAATATCGATCCAAGAGTTATTCATAGTGCAGAAATTTAGAAACAACTGAAATGGCACAAGAGAATAATTGGGATAAGTTTGCAAAAATACTTTGACCAAAAAACAGAATGTGATCTGGCTGTTAAAAGTTTTATTTGGAAAATCATGTAAAGACATCGGGAGATATTCATTAGCTTAAGCAGGAAAAAAACAATTTAAAACAGAATATACAGTATTATCACAGGTTTACTTTAAAGTAAGTTGGACTGGGCACAGTGGCCAGGCTTACGCCTATAATCCCAGCACTTTGGGAGGCTGAGGCAGGAGGATTGCTTGAGCACAGGAATTTAGGACCAGTCTGGGCATCATAGCAAGCTCCTATCTCTACCAAAATAAATTTAAAAAATTAATAGGTGTGGTGGTGCATGCCTATAGTTCCAGCTACTCAAGAGGCTGAGGCTGGAGGATCTCTTGAGGCCAGGAGTTGAAGGCTGCAGTGAGCTATGATGATGCCACTGCACCCCAGCCTGGGTGATAGAGCAAGACCCCATCTCAAATAGATAGGTAGGTAGATAGATAGATAGATAGATAGATAGTGTTCACATCAAAATATTAGCAGTGAGATTGCACTTTTCATTTTTCTGTTATAGCAATGAATGACAAACTTATAATAATGAATATTTATTACATTTATAATTAAAAGCAAAAGCAGAAGGGGAAAATGAATTCCTTTTAGAAATCCAGATTTTGGTTTTCCACCTATCACTAAATACTCTTTCAACAGGTTCTTCTTACCCTTACTTCCTAAATCAAATCTTTTAGGTTCAGTTCTTATATTTCTATTTTTATCCTTCGATTCACGAACCTGAAATCTCTTCTACTTTCATATTGTCTATAACATCCCAGGTCATGATCCTGTCACATCTGACACTTTGCACTGCCCTCTGACTGCTTACCAAGACTTTAGATTACCACTTCCTAGTGACACATGAAATCTTCCACATCACCGTCTTTCTCAGATTTTCTCCTACATCTCATTTGTTTATCTTTTAATGCTGGTATTATTTCTTGTACCGAAGTTGTCTTTGACTTTTCCCTTGCTTCTCATACCCACATCTTGCAACTTCTCTTTCCTGCTGGGGTACGCCAGGCACCTTTACCATTTTCAAAAAAGAGATCTCTTTCTGTTCCCATGCACCTAGTCCCAACATTTAATCGATGTATTTTGCACTGTCCTCATGTTAATCTTGAAATGTTGCTCCTTAAGTTTTTGCACTGTCTGTAGGATGAAGTCTACACTCATTCTTTCTGCCTGAACTTTCATTGCTGTTTCAAACAAAATCTTTAGTCACAAACCTTTTGATCTACCTAAATATAACTTCACTTTTCCTGACTCCATTCCCTCGCTCAAACTATTCTCATGTTATCTCCTTCCCGTTCTTCAGAGTCCAACTTCAATCTTTTCTCCTCTGGAAATGATTCAATAAATTATCACCTAAGGCCTTTCCCCGTATTTTGAGTTGAGATAGTTTATTGTAGTTAGGGAGGAATTTATTTTAGATCTCTACAAAACCATATGATTTTCTTATTAAATTAATTTGGTTTCATCCTTTACATTTCCTTTTGCCATGGAAGCAAGGGTTTACATCTGTTGTTCTAGTGTAATTATTACTAGTGCTCCCTTTCAGTTTTAAAATTGTCTTAGTCTGAATGATAAATCTTACAATTACCCCACTTATCCAGTACAACATTATAGTACCCGTTGTTAGTGGGTACATAAGCACGCGTTTGCTAATGAACCACATACTATGAGCTTACATACTAAAGGGATTTATTTTAGGTCAAAGAATGTCTTTCCAAATCTTATACTGAAAAGGAATTAAGCTGTCATATTCCTTAAGTACTGTATACTCTGGATGACCTTTCAAAGCAGCTTTGATATATCAAATTTCAGTTGTCTATGTTGGTGGTGATGAAACATCTATAACCTATAACCGGCAAATGGCAAGGGTCATTATTTCCCTTTTATCCTTTCCTTACTCCCCTTGCCTTTCTGGAAGGAGGTGGGTGGGTTGAGATTATGCATGACAAATAAGTTTCTGAAGAAATGACTTAGTACTTTTGTGTCAGGGTCCCCAAGACCACCCCCAGGTTTGGTGATTTGCTAGGAGAACTCATAGGATTCAGCATATAGTTGTGCTCATGATTTATTACAGTGAAAGGATATAAAGAAAAATCAACAAAGGGGAAGGGTACATGAGGCAAAGTCTGGGAGAAACTAGGCGCGACCTTCTAAGAGTCCTCTCCCAATGGAGACACACAGCCATGCTTAATTTCCCCAGCAATGAGTTGTGGCAACACATCTGAGATGTTTACCAAGGAAGCTCATTAGACACTCAACATCCAGGGTTTTATTGGAGACTGGTCACATAGGCACCCTCTGCCTGGCATGTACCCAAATTCCAGACTCCCAGAAGGAAAAGAGGTGTTTGTATAAACTGTATTGTGTATACAAACAGTTTAGGCATAGTAAGCCATGTCTTATCAGTTCCAGGGATGGGAACCTTCCCTAAATTCACATTCCCAGACACCAGCCAAGGGCCAACCTTGTAAGCAGACCTTTCAAAAGATAGCACTCAGGCATGCTGTGCTCTTTTCTGCACAGCTCTGCTCACCAGAAAAAAAAAAAAAAAACATTTTAGACTCTAAAGGTCTCAACATTCTAGTTTGTTCCCATGGGCTAGGCAGCAAAATCAATGACATTATCTTTTAAAATAAATAAAATTTTCAAAATAACTGGAAAAGTTGCCCCTGAAAGTGAAAATGTTCTTGCATCCCTTACACCTAGTAGTGTGAACCTGGCTCTGGACAGCCAGTTTTTGCGTTTCTTTCCAACTCCCATATTCAGTGATGTTGGGTTTGTGATGTGAAACTGGCCATTTGGGGAATATTTGCACCACAGAAACCAGCAGATTCTGCAAATCAGAGGTTTCTCCCCAAACAGCCAGTTGTTAAACATTTACTAACATACAACCACCCATCCCTCATTACTATAACTTAATTCAGTCTTACATACAGTGTGTTCCCCTAAGCGGTGATAAGAAAAAAAGAATTAAGATTTATGTGGAATACTGATTTTTTGTGAGATATAGGTACCAACAACAACATATTTGGGAGCTGAGAAGTTTTTGGTTCAAATCTCCTACCTGATTTATATATTCTTTGCATATATTAGTTTAAAAATGTTGACTATGCAACTTTAAAATGCACATTGAATTACCGATAATATTGGGTTACTTGTAATTATATGAATAAATGCATAATAAGTATGTATAATTATAACTGACCCTTGAACAATGCAGGGGCTAGCAGTGCTGAACCCCTGTGCAGTCGAAAATTTGAGTACAACTTTTGACTTCCCAAAAACTTAACTACTATTAGACTACTGTTGAACAGAAGCTATACTAATAATATAAACAGTCTATTAACACATAATTTGTATGTGTTTTATGTACTATATAGTCTTACGATAAAGTAAGCTAGAGAAAAGAAAATGTTATTAAGAAACTCATAAGGAAGAGAAAATATAGTTATTATTCATTAAGTGGAAGTGAATCATCATAAAGGTCTTCTTCCTTGGCTTCAGGCCAAGGATGAATAGGTTGAGGAAGAGGGGGAGGAAGGGGAGGGGTTGCTATCCCAAGGGTGGCAGAGGCTGAAGAAAATCTGTGTATAAGTGGACCTGCACAGTTCAAACTCATGTTGTTCAAGGGTCAACTGTACTTTTTTCGAGAGACAGAGTCTCACTCTGTTGCCTGGGGCTAGAATGCCCTGGTGTCAGCCTAGCTCACAGCAACCTCAAACTCCTGGGCTCAAGAAATCCTTCCGCCTCAGCCTCCAGAGTAGCTGGGACTACAGGCATGCACCACCATGCCCGGCTAATTTTTCTATATAGTTTTAGTTGTCCAGCTAATTTCTTTCTATTTTTAGTAGAGATGGGGTCTCGCTCTTGCTCAGGCTGGTCTCGATCTCCTGAGCTCAAACGATCCACCCACCTCGGCCTCCCAGAGTGCTAGGATTACAGGCGTGAGCCACCGCACCCAGCCCTCAACTGTACTTTTAAAGGGGC